ATTTAAAAATAAATACTGCAAAAAAGTAATCCTTATTTTCAAATATTATTATACCAAATTTTATTTATATATTTTAATAATTTAAAAAAGTAGATCAGAGCTAAAAAAATGCAAAAACGCAGGCAAATTTGCCTGTGTTGGCTTACAATCTAAGGGATAAATTATTTTTATATAATAATTTATCTCTAATAAGATAATGATAAGTTAAATGCTTCATTACCTTTTTAGTACTATTCAGTAGAACCTTAGACTAGCTAAGATAATTAATAAAATTTGTATATGTTTCTAGTTTCATAAAAGTCTGTTATGTTTAATAAAGGATTTCTAAAAGAGCCATTCAGATATATATAAGTGGGGTTTTTTAATTAAGAGAGTTTATACTAAATTCAGAATAGATTATCAGCATTTAAATAAAATTTATTAGATTTGAGAATGGTGATAAATGAGTATTCTTGCAAGATCAGAATTTATTTAGCCAGTTGATTCTGAAATAGTCAATATGAAAATAATGACTTCAATACCAAATAGTCTATATATAGGGTAAAATAAGTCTTGTGCAAATAGATACAGAAATAAAAAACTATTCAAACTACTGCAAAACACTTTTTTTAGTAATAGTACAATTTCTTTTTGTTATTATTAAGGAATGGCTTATATATGCAATTATTTATTCTTTTTTCTCTTTATCTGCTTGTAATAATATAGTTTCTAAAGCCAAGTCAGATGTGTCTGTAAAGGAAATAAACAGTTGATTGAAGTTAGAATAAGCTAATATTAGAATGCTTATAAGTTTCTTTTTTAATTTTTCAAAAGTATTTTGACATTTAAGAGTCTATTGATACTGGGTATTCTTCTTTAATAAGACATTAAGAGGAGCAGCAATGTTTGTGAATTTTGAGATAAAATATTTATAGTAAAAGGCTAATTCTAAAAATCCTCTTAATTGTTATAAATTTTTAGTAATAGAAAATTCTTGAATGATCTGGATTTTGCTCTGATCAGTAGAAATTCTCTTCAAATTTACAATATATCCTAAAAATTTTAGTTGTTTTTTTACAAAATAATATTTCTGAAATTTAAGTTTTAATTTAGCTTCTCTTAAATTATAAAATACTTCTTTTAAATAACTCAAGTATTCTTCAAATGTTGCTAAAAAGATATTAAGATCATCTAGATAAACAACTAAAATTTTTTAACAATGTTATAGAAAATATTATCTATCAACTATTGAAAAGTTATAGAGGCATTAGCAAGATCAAATAACATAACATTAAATTCAAATATTCTATAAAGAGTAATAAAAACTATCTTGTTTTGATCTTCTTCTAATACTTTCACTTGCCAATATCTACTGGCTAAATCTAATAAAGTGAACTATGATAATCTATTTAAGGCATTTAAAAGTTTATCTACCCTAAATAAAGAGTAGTTATTCTTAATCATAATGCTGTTTAACTTTCTGTAGTCTACATAAAAGCATATTTTTCAAGCCTTCTGCTTAATAAGAACTACTAGTAATAATCAAGAGTTACTAGAAGATCAAATTATAGCTTCTTTCAATATAGAAGCAATTTCTTCTTTAAGAAATTGCTTTTCAGCTAGTGAATACTTATAAGAATATTGTTTAATTAGCCTACAGCTATAAGTAAGAATCTCATAGTATGTTTGGCTTGTACATCCTAGTTCTCCTAAATTCTTAGTACAAAGATTAACATTTTCTTCAAGAAGTTTAGTTAATTGTCACTCTTGATCTGTTTTCAATTTTTTTATTTGATATTTGACCTTTGCTGAAGTTCCATTTTCATAACAGTAATCAAATAAATCTGCTATATGTTAATTTTCTTTTTTTAAACAACATAACATGTAATCCTAAGTTGATCTATTTGTTAATCACCTATTTGCTTCTTTCATAACAATCTTTCTATAATCTGTTATTATTATACCCAATATCATCATTCCATTCATCAAATTTAGATAGCATATAAATTGATTTTTTCAATTCTTTTTCTTCATATTCATTATCAACTTCATCATCTTTATCTTCATTTATTATTTTCTTGACTACTCTTGTTCTTTCTTTTTCTAATAAAGCTTTTGTTATTTTCTGAAACTCAACTAGTATTATAATCTTCTTACTATTTTAATAAATGATCATATTAGATGAGTTCTAGTTAATGGTAGCATTAACTTTAGCAAGCTAATTATTACTGATAATAGTACAATAAAAGATAGTGTTAGTAATGATAACATCAATAGAGATAACTATTCCTCTTACAGAGAAGAGAAAATTGGAAATTTCTTCTATTGCATATTTACTCTTAGTATAAATATTAATTATATTCATTGCTAATAGGCATTCAATTCTTATTTCAAGTTTTTGTAACAAATGTGAAATGACAATGCTTTTTGAGAATCCACTATTTACTATTAGTAAGATATCCTTATCATAGATTCTGGCATTACAATACAAAGTTATTAATTTTAGGATGAGCTATAAATTAACATTACTCTGAAGTTTTTTCTTGTAATAGTTTTTTTCTTTTGCAGAGAACAAACCAACTCTTGGCACATATTTTAAGATGCCTTTAATAATTGTTTATAAGTAATATTAACAATTTTATCTCTAATATTAGTAACAATTGAATACAGAGAGACCAAAGAGGAAATTTGAAGCAATTCCTCTTCAATAATTTTTCATCTTGGTTCAGCATTCTTCTTCTGTTGAACCTTGAAGGCTTTGTTATTCTTATTTTTTTTCTTTTTTTCCTTAACAAAATCAGGAATTATTTCTTGAATATCATTATCTAAGTTCTTAATCTCACTTCTATTATCCATACTAGCATTTTAAAGTAGAATCTTTTCAGTTTTATCTAACTTTATAGTATCTTCTCTTCTTTTGACATTTTTCTTTTTTTGCAGTAAGACAGTATTAGTAATAGACCTCTTCTGTTTATGTTATTCTATTTGAAGAAATAAAGACTCATTTTTTTTATGAATTCCTAAATATGTAGGCTGGTTATTTTGAGGGCCATTGGGGGTTGGATTATTCAACAATATGAACAAAGCCTATAAGGTTTTTTGAGTATTCATATATTATTTACAGAAAGTTGTTGAACAGATGAATTGAAATTATTGTTATTATTATTCTAAAGATTAGGACATTAACAACTAATATATTCAGATCATCTACAAGTAAAACAAATTATTTCTAGATTTGTGTTAGGACCATCCTGTCATAGTCATTATAGTTTCTTTTGATTTTGATACTAAGTTATCATTTTATTAATAGCCTCTGTAAGCTTAAATAAAGCCTTTTTTGTTTTATTATAATTTGTCTGAAGGGCAACTGGAGTACCAACTATTCCCTAAGATATATATGTTAGATATCTTATAGGTTAGATCATAAAAACCATATATGTCAGGTTATTTCTATATATATTTTAAAGACTTTTGCTCTAGCATAGGCATTTTCTAATGTATTAGAGGTTAATGAAGACATTACTATATAGAGTTTAAGATGCAATCCATTTATGAACATTTGGATCATCATAGTATTAAAATATTGATATTCTTTTAATTCAACTCTTTTAATTATTTTTTTAATAAAGATATAATAATTGTTAACAGTTTTTCTAGGTAATTGTTTCTGTTATGTAATTGAGTGAACCTTTTGGCTTTCAATTTAGGTGTTCAAAATTTAGCAATAAAATTAAAAGTAAAGCTTGAAGCTAGTACATTGAGATTATACTATCGATTGATGACAGAATGTTGTATCCTTTATGTAACTCTCAAATTCACTGCTAATCCCTTTAATTTTGGAACTATTACTAAAAACTTTCAATTATTAGAAATCATGTTTACATCAAATATTTTCTCTATATTTTCAAGCTATATAATCAGGTCTTAATCATCTCTATAAAAATCTTGGTAGGAGACAGTACTTAATTTTCAGTTAGTTTCAGGAACATTTATTTGTACAAGTAGTATGCCTTGCAATTGTTGTACTAAGGCAGTGATCTGTATTGCTAATGCTTGCATTGGACCTTGAACTATTAAAAAAAAAAATTTTATTATTTAATTTACACAATTGATATTAAATGTTATTATTGTTTAGGAGAGCTTTAATAACTATTTTATTTAATTTAACTTCAATAATAAACTATAATAAAAAGTTATTATAAGTAGAGTAATATAGTACTATCAATAGGATGGCTTGTTTACATGAATCAGTATTTTAATAAGGATCAGTTAACTAATTTATATAAGATTAGGTTACTAATCAATTTAAGTGATAGTTGCACTAATGTAATAATTTTAATTTATTGGATCAATTTAGTAATATAACTGATATAATTAATAAAGAGTATCTATTATGTAATTTAATATAATGATAATGATTTATGATGATATTTTAAAATAATAAGGATTTTAATAAATATTCAATATAAGGGTTATTAAACAATTTTTATTAAGTAAATAAAATTCTAACAACAAAAATTATCTAAACACTTGAGCAATCGATTCTTTTATTTTACTATTTAAGACATCAAAACTACTAACTTTATTAAAGACTTAAAGGTTCTGCTTTTATACCTTATGATTTATTAATAAGTATGATAATCAAACCTTATAATCTATGAAACTAGTAGTTTTGCTTACCAATACTATCACTACTTAGTTTCAGTAATTTATAGTTTTGACACTAAGAACTATTATAGAGTTTGAATATGATTATACTAATTCAGTTACAATTTTTGATTACAAAAGAGTAAGTATTTACAGATTTAGAAAATTCCATTTACAATTATAGAGCTTGTACTGATTTTAAGTTTTATACAGCCTATCATACTGCCTATTATTACACTTTCTTCATGTTATCATTATAACAATAGGTAATTAAAAATTGTATATGTAACTAGTTGTACACTTATCTAATATAAGTAATATTTAATATATTAACTAAAAATAGAAATAAAGATATTAGTTGCTATAAACATCAGCCTTAATAAATAAAATAAAATAATTAATCAATTATATTCAAAAATAATATTTAGTATAAAAAAATAGCAGTTAAGCAAATAAGTATTATAAGAAAATAATTATATAAGAGAATGAACCAAAATAGCTAATAAGTTTAAAAATAAAAGTAGAAAAATCAAACATCTAAAATAATTGAATAATTAAATAAAAAAAATTAATAAAAAGAACTAATAACTGTTTTCAGAGATCAAACTCTTAATACAGCTAATATAAATACTTTAAATATGTAATATATATAATTTATCTTTAAATTTATTTATGCAGTCATGTTTTTAACATTGAGTAAAATTTTAATTAGTTATTATTATTCTTATGTGCAATATAAAAGATCTATAATATGGCTTTTTAATCTGAATCACTATTTATAAAAAATAGTCTATTTTAATTAGCAACTTAAAATTTTAACATTGTTATGATATAAAGACATTTTATATTAAACATTTCATATTTATAAAATTAAAAAATTAAATATTATAGGAGGAATTAAAAATAAAAGAAAGCCATTTTTCTATAGTTTTTAATGCACATCTGAAATCTGTAACAGGTTATGCTAATGAGTTAATTATTTGACTGACTGTACTACTAGTAACAAAAAATTAGATATGTATATATATTATAATTTAATTAATCTGATTAATGATTGATATATAATAATAATAATAATAAAATAGTAATTATTTTTTCTTTCCTACTGCCTTTTCTTAAACAGGTTTATTTTTTCTTTGACTATACAAAACTGCTATAAAACTTAGATTAGAAAGTGAACTCAGTACATATATAAATATTAAAGTTTTTTAAAGTTACACGATATTAATATGAAAAGTAATAATACTACAGAAAATATTTCACAGATTGGAACCTGTATTTATTATATTTATTATTTGAACATTTTTATATTAAGTTCATAGAATTTAATAAATAAAAACTGTAAAATAATTATAGTATATAATTTAAAATTAAATAAGTTATCTTATATTATCATCATTACTTTATAGGTTTTTACTTAAGCTTCTTTACTAAAAGTACTAAAACCAGTTCTTTCTCTAAATTACACATATTTAATTTAAAAATTTAATTATATATCATTATTTCAAATATATAAGAACTTTGTGGTTTCAAATTTCAAACTAAATATGTTTGTAAACATTAGTAATAAAGATGATGTATCTAAATAGATTACAGAGTTTTAATTATATTCAAAAACAACAATGCTCTAATTGAAAGTGTATAATATTAAAGAGAGTCAGGTTCTTTTTTTTTTTGGGAAAGTTGGCATTGCATTTATAGTTATGAAGTGAAGAGAAAACAGAGAAATGTAGAAGTAAAATGTTCAAATTCTTTTTGAGCATATGATATTTACTGCACTGCAGTTATTCATCTATGATTAAAATATAGACAGCTTCCACTTACTTATCCTTTTGAAGTTAATTTAAAGTATATGCACAATTATGTTGTCAATTTAGCAGAATTTTTAAGCTTTTAGCATGTAAAAGATAAAGTTCAAAAAGAACTATTAAAACTTTTTAAGAATGAACATACATCTGCTTCAGCATTATATATTTATCAAGACAACCTCTATTTTAAAGCAATGAATAAAAAGAATTCAGTTGAACTTTTTGCAAATCGATCAATAAATCCAAATTATGATTATACTGCAAAACTTTTTTAAAAATATCAGAAGACTACACTTGGTAGTAAAAATAGTACATTGATGTTTAAACAGTTAGCAGAGATTGTTAAAAATTACAATGATTCAGGTCAAGAAAAAGCCATCTTACAAGAATATGATACACATATTGGAAAAGCATTTATTCTTTGCATCATAACTGGTCTTATGTGTCAAATATATGAAAAAATTCTATAGATAGGAAAGCTTTGCTATATTAATGCATCAGCTTCATTTAAACCTTTAAATATATTAATTACCTTTTTTTATACAAGCTGTGCAATTGGAGCACTTTCACTTAGTTTGCTTGTCACTTCGGATGAACTTGAAATTATGTTGAAAAAAACAGTAAGAATATTTTTTATTAAAATATTTTTATATTATATGTATCTGCTAAAGAAATTTTAATTCTAAATAAAAAACTTTATTAATAATCATTATTGATTAAATAATATATATATGTATATGTTTGCATTACTAAAAAAAAAAAAAAAATTTGTATTATTTGATTCAATTTAATAAACTAATAAATTTATTAATAAATCTAGTTTAATATGCTTAAAACAATACTTTCTCCATATCTATTCTATAGTCATGGACTACATACAGGACTGATGCTTTTTCTTATAAATAATTCTAGTGTAAAAAGAAATGCTATTGAATTATGTTATCCAAATAGAATTCATCTATTGTGCACATTTTATATACTATAAGCTTTTTGGAAGTGGCTTTTCAATTCAAAGCATCATATTCAAAAAAAACCAGATATTTATTATGACAAAAATGAAAAAAATCATTTATGCATTATCAAATTTAGAAATAAAATTATTTTACTAAGAACTCAAACAAGGGTTTTATACTATTTATTCACAATTACAAAAGCATTTTGAACTTTTATAAGAATGCTGACATTTTTGGGCTTACTCTTATTATTTAGGACTCTCTATACATGAGAACAATATAAATAATTATGTTGAAAGAAGTTTCAGAATATTAAAAAATATAGTGTTTGCATGAACTCAAGCATTTAATTCTGTACAAGTGTTTCAGTTTATTATTATAAATATGAAAACACTCTATAAATGACTCTTGTTTAATTTTGTAAATAAACATCCTGATCATCTGTGAATTACAAAAGGTTCTTATATCTAGATTGGGATAAAATAAATAAATATAAAATTCAAAAAACAAATATTGCTAATGAATTCTTAGTACCAAGTTTGCAAAATAGTAATCTTTTTTATATTGTTAATAGTGAAATTGATACATGTTCTTGTCCTATTAGTATAATTAGTGCTTTATGTAAACACCAAGATACTGTTTTGATGAAGTTTCATATCTCCTTATTTAATTTTATTCTATTATTGATTTCTGATGATTGTATAATATATACTTACATTACTCTTAGTAAAATAATAATGTGATCTATATTAGATTTTAAAAATTTAAACTAATTTAAATTGGTACTTTAGACTATGTTGCCAACAATAGATCCTTCTATACATTATTGCATCTACAATCTACTTTGCAATTACAAGAATATTTACATGTTGAAATAAGTATATCAAATGATATTCAAAATACTATATAAAGGTAATAACAATATTATTATTAAGTTGGTTTTTTTTTTTTGGTATTAAGGTGATTTCTTTGGTCTTTTGAGTTTTATTAATCACTTATTAATATTGTGGTTCAATGAACTAATACAGGAGAGTGTACAATTAACTATACATGTAATTTTTCTATATTATCTATTTAAGGAATCTGCCTGAAGGTTCCTTACCAATTATCATACCTAATACCTCTGCTTGGATGTTCTACTTTAAATCTTCTGAATCTGTAATCTGTATTAATATTACTGATTATCTCAGATGCCCAAATCATCATCCTTAATCTTAGAACTAATTTATCCTTAAGGTAAACCTCCTAAAGCCTTTTGTACTTATTTTACAACTGATCTAGGTATTGCTATGGCAGAACCAATACTGTAATCAGGGCTAATTATTAAACCACTATGCCCTTGTAGAGTTCACTTAGACCCCAGCATCTACTTCATAGCATAATTCCAGTACTTTAGTATACCCCTACCTTTTATCCAACCTTTTTATCAAACTTTCAATTCAGATAGCCCATATAGGACTATGACCAGTCTATCGATATATTAGATTGACCTAATATCCTTTTTTTCTGATTCGTTTTGATGACTTAGTTGATGATACTCTCAAGGCTCTCAACCCAGAAGTTCTTGCTTATCTGACTACTATAACCAGGTACTATAATCTTGGTATTCATTTTTCTAAGCTAGCCTTTACAGTAGAACTGTTGAAGATCCAACTACCTCTTTACTTGGGTCTTCCCAAATGGACTTCTTGTTATTCAATTTAACAGATTTATATAATCACAAGGACTTATCTAGTGTTTGTATTGTCTGATTTGTCAGTTTGCATTCCTCTGTATAATACCATACTTATACAGATGTCCTATAACCTGCCAATTATGCTAGTACAACCACTATTACAGGTATCCTAACTCAATCATTAGTAACAGTTGCCATAATATGAATATTACATAGGTGATTATCCAAACTTTTGCCATCAATAGGATTTGAACACCTAATTTATCACTTGAGGGATTGACAACCTGACCACTTCACTAGGTTGCCACACTCCTATTAAGTTGTTTTTTTCAAATTAGGATTTTATAACTATTATTATTTTTTATTTTTTATAAAGAACCAAGCTCAAATAAAGAGAACAATGATGATGATGCTTTATCATTTATGATTTTTTTAGAAGAAGTTAAAGAAGACTATCAAAATGATGATCCTCAGCTATGTATCACATTAAACAAGTTTGTGATATGCTAAAATGCAGCAAAATTCAAGTCTATTTCTCGGTTATCATCATTCCTTTATGATATTAATTGAAATACAGGCCCAATGGCTCATGTTAAAAGTGAAGTGCCAATAAGAATTCAAATAGAATCCATCAAAAGATGTAAAGAAAATGGACACAGTACCAAGAGAAAACTGCATGGGAAAGAAAATAAAGATTTTCAGATTGTTCTAGCCCGAAAAAAGAAAAAAATGAATAAAAAAGATTATAATTTAAGCAGAAGCATATTAAATAATCACCAGAATTAAAAAAAATTTTATTTCAATGCATTATTCTTTAATTTTATATTCGCAAATGTATTTGCTTAACTCTACCAGGGCGGCCTTCAAAATTACAGGTCACATGGGAAGCGCCACTGCCACAGTTGTATGAGATTGTATTGTTTACCGATACTGTATTACATTTATAAAAAAACCTTGATATTATGAACAAAGATATATAACGAAGTTTTTCTTCAGTATAATGAAGTCACAAGAAAGTATGAATATAACAGATTTTTTAAAATAATCACAATTCCTTTGTTATATCAAGGCAATACTGTATTTGCTCAAGTTGTGTCAAGTTTTAATGTATCATTTATTCGCCTTGTAAAATAGAATGATACTCCATATTTAGATGTATAAGAGAGCAATCTTTCGAATTCAGTGTACAAATTTACTTCTAGATTCAGCATAAAAATACCAATTAACTGTGTTTTTAAAAAAAAGATCACAATAGAATCTCTAAGTGCATGTGGGGTCATAATAAAAAAAAAAAGAGTGCATTTAAAGAAAATGTGCATTTATATGTAGAGACAAAATATATAGTACTTTTATAAACTTAAGAATGTTAAATTGGTCCCAAAGAAATTTTTAATTTTGGAGATTTTTCCAACTTGAGTTACTTATTAAATAAATTTATAATGCCTCTTTAACTAGAGTTACTTATTAGAGATAAATAAAAAAAAAAACATTTCCAAAGTATTAGATTTTTTAAAACATAATGTTTGGATCATGATCCCAGGATGACCTTGTCTAAGACAGTCCCAACAAAATTGTATCAATGTTATTTTTTTGGGAGAACACTGAGAATATACATTGTTCAGATTGGATTGTTAGTTTCAAAATTAAATTGATCTGTTATTATGGGGAAATATTTTGGTGCTTATCTCGTTTGTTTAAACAGTTTATTATAGAATGAATAAAGAAACTTTCTAAATACGATTAGCACATCTTTAGTATAAACGATCAGTATAATTGTTATGATGAGAATTTGAATTGGATTGATTAAAATTTACTCACTATGTTTAGTGATAATTTGTTTTAGGCTGTTATCGCTATGCGTCACATAAGATGATTACTTTGTAATTGTTATCACACTCAAAATAAATAAAATTTAATTTATGCAAAAGTGTAATTAGCATGACAAATGATTTTCTATGCCAAATATTAAACGATCATGCTAAATGGATAATTGTTATATAAATGCAGGTTCTTTCACTTTGAATCGATAAAGCTAACTTATTATATTCAATAGCTATTTGTTTAGAATGTTTAAACATTTATGCATCATATAAAGTGATTAATATTTCAAATCTTGTAATTGTATGCACTTCGAAAAGTTAACATAGAATAAATTAATCTACTAAAATAAATATATTAATAAATATTATATCAACAATTAAAATGTTAAAAAAGGTATTATAAAGAATGTAGCTCAAGTTTATTAATAGAATAATAAAAGCCTCTTCTAAATCGTTCTTTTTGAATTAATGAAATATGCAATTACTTATCTTTTATTGTTCCTAGTTTTTCTTAGTCATCCCAATAATAAAGCATATATTAATTTTTTTTCTAATAAATATCAAGTATAATCCACTGATAGATAGTGAAAACGCTAAAAAAAAACGAAACCACATATTGATTAATAAATACCAAAAACACCTTATCCACAAACTAATAATGATCTGTTCTGATTGCAAATGTGACCGTTCCGAAGATCAATTCATCTGGAAAGGTACTTAGCACAAAACTTGCAGAATGTGCAAAGAAAGTCATGACTGAAAGAGTAAGGAGAAATTGCCTATTGAGCAACCTAAAAGTGTCAAGCATAACATTCCTCAGGAAGTAGATGTTAATATTGAATATGTTGAAGTTGATTATCTTGATGTGGGTGATTTAATTGAGCATCAAATCAATGAGTTAATGGTAAACAAAACAATCAATCCGATTTATCAAGCCCATTTGTTGGTGAATATGGATATAATACCGAATATAATGACAAAAGACGTTGCTGCTCTTGTTATCGCTGAAATAGAATATGATGATGATTATTCGTAAAAGTAAGTATAATATAATATTTAAAATTGCATTAATTTTATTACTATCATGACTAATATTAAAATCCGCTGATATTAAAATCAGTTGATATTGAAATTTAAACATATAAAAATTTTTTTAAGAGTCTTTTTTTTTTTTTTTTTTTTTTATCTTCCCTGTCCTTATTGTTTCCTCGTTTTCTTATTTATTATTATTATTTTGCTTATTTATATATTTAATTATTTTAGTTTAGGTCACAAATAATGTTGTCTGAGCTTTAATTCTTGCATGTAGTTTTTATTTTGTATTTTACAATCTTAGTATATTCTTAATATATAGTATTTTAATATGTACAACTAAAATTAGTAATAAAGATATGAGCAAGGCCTCACCTTAACATCAAAAAAAAAAATATATATATTTAATTATTATTAATTATTATTAATATATTTTGAATTTACTATCAGTCAAAATAATTATTTTTAACTAAATATACACTTACAATTGCAGTTATTGATTTGCTAAAATGTCTAAAAAATTTGGTGATAAGGTTGGTTAGTTCTATTATATGTGCTGCCAATCAAATAAGGCACAAAGAAAGCATAAAAACTCTAACCGCAAACGATGAACTCGTTATAATTGCAAGGGCAAGATTACGATACAAGTTAATATGGACCTTAGTATTACAGTAGTAGATATTTACCATAGGCTTCTCCATCTATGCCCAGAACTTTGCATTAAAATGCCTAATAAGTTACAAGAGGAAATTGAAAAAAATGCTCATCTTACTACTGTGAAGCTTATGAATTGCTTGCGACATCGAGGCTTTAACCTCAAAAATTATTCACCAAAATGGATTTATTTTTGGAAGTCTGTTGTGGATCAAAGTCTTTTTCAACATCATGAAAACTATGTTGAATCAGCACATATGCTTCTTGATGAGCACAGTGACCAGGGTTTTCATCGGTGCTTCGATATGCTAGATTCAGAGTCCACGGCGATCGCATTCACAATCCCATTATTAAATGAAATTAATTGTCATAGCATCAATGTTAGTGAAATTTATGTTGATGCAACATATAAAACTGCGAGAGGGCGTTACAAGTTGTATAGTATAATAGCGTATATCGATGGAACTGGATTTCTGATCGCTTATCTAGTTCTTAATACAACAAAAAATATTAGTATAGGTAAGAACTCAAATTTTTTATCAATGAATTGTAATTTCTTACATCTGTTCTACTTTCTTTTGCTTAATATAATCCATTGTCACGACTAAGGCTGGAATGGCAAAAGCTGAAAATCAGTAATCTATATTTAAAAATATAAGCCTACTCAAATATTTTTTTCTATTCTAACTCTAAATCTTAGTGACTGTATTAAAAAAATATTAATAATAAATTATTGTATCAAATAAGCCTAATTTCTAGCTTCAATCATTCCAACTTAACAATAATATTTATTATAAATAATAATAATAATAATTCTGTCATACCTAACTTTTGACATATTTCTGCTCCTAAAAATTAGATGATGACAATATACATCTTAAGTGTAGCGAAATCTTAAAAAAATTCTTTGAAGCTATGAAAGCACATGATATCAATCCAAGTTTCATGTTTATGGACAAAGATTTCGCAGAAATTAATGCCGCAATGGCAGTATGGAAGCCATCTGTAGTGCAATTATGTGCTTGGCATATAAACCAGGCTCTGAAGTTTAAACTTCAAGAGAAGGCTAAACAGTCAAATAGCACCAAATTGTTGACCATAAATTATAATACTAATCGAGTAGCAAACAAATTTAATTTTATAAATCCAACTTTCTATCCAACCGAAGATAATAGAAACCCACAAACATATGTCGTATACCCACAAATACATCATGAAACAATACTAAACCTAGTACAAAAACACCTTACCTTACATCCCCTTATACCGATTGATGCTCAAGAAAATGTTTTGTCATCTGAAAATATAATGCACAATGCAATAAAGGAGATATACCAGTTTTGTGTTACAAATTCGTTGCGGTTATTATAGGCTTACCTCTGAACTAACTGGTATTCTCCTCAATGGTAACACTTATGGGCACGGTTGACTAAACCTACCATTCTCTTTAGTAAAACCATGATGAAAATTAAGGCACATTAAAGCATTCTTAAGCAATGTTACCTATATCGCTTTAATTAACCAAGGTTGGATCTGCTTTTCTGAACACTCTTTAAAGAAATAATTCCAATCTAAAAAGAATGATTTTCTCAGGTTTTGAATGGTATAGTAGAGCCGTGGTGGTAGAAGGACTTTAAAAAAGAATGGAACTACACTGGTGCAAGTAACCAACAACAGATAGAAATGTGTAATAATAAGCTTAACAAAAATAAAAGAAAACAGAGCATTAATCTAATAATAACAAACCCAACTAGATCATATTTTACTGATACTACTCATTGGGTTTGTAGTTGCCCTGCCTTTGTTGGCAGTTGTTTCTTGTTGTGCAAACATTTGGTTAGAAAAGTTGTAGATTTACCTAATGGAAACTGTCGAAGATTGATTAGAAGTGATTTTGAACACGGTACTACATCCCCATTCCTTATCATAAAAGGTTTAATGAATAATGAAACCAGTAACTTTCCTGTACCATCTGCAATTTTCGATGAAGTTTATGAAACTTATGAATCTAACCCTATACTTAATGATTCTGAAAATTCTAATAAAAGTGCTCGCTCCTTTGTTGAATCAAATTGGCTTTCATTTGAACATGCATTCAAACGGGCCCGCACTGAAAGGTTTGCTAATAATTGGAACTTTGTTCGTGCAGTTATGAAATGTAGCAAATTATTAGAAATAGAGGATGAAATACAGGCAGTAGAACGACAAAAACATAGGCAGGTAACTTGGGCCTCAAATAATAGGAAACCATATTTGATGTATTTATCATTTCCGGATAAGGCAAACAACAACGAAGATCAAATTGATGTTGAAATAAATAGCGATAGTAATAATTAATATTAACTGCCAAAAACTGTTATCACATATTTGCATTTGTGAGATGTTCACTATACCTTTTTGATTTATTTGAGTGTTTTCAAATAGAGAACGCTTTCCAATAATTCATGTTCATAAAAATTAAGTATTCGCTAAAAACATTCTATAAAATTCTTGAATTCAAAGTTTTGTTCGTAGTCTTTTAATAACGATCCAACAATTGTATGTTTAATTAAGCGTGCGTACCAAAAGTTAAACTGAATTTAAGTCTCAAACTTCGAATTTTCACTTTAAAAAAGCGTTAATCAGTGAACGTCCTGCCAAATGCAGGGGAAAAAAGGTTGTGTTTAATTCTTGATACATTTATCGTTTCTATTTTATTTAAAAATCAAGAAAACCATTTATGCAGTATGTAGATTTGGTTAAACAAAAACACTGCGGCAGTGGCGCTTCCCATGTGACCCGTAATTTTGAAGGCCGCCCTGGTAGAGTTTATTAGCTTTATATTACATATATATTTAAATGTTAATATATGTATTTAGTTTTATACGTAATAAAATATGCATAATAAAAATTTATATCCGCTTAGATAATATTGGTCAATTAACTGACGGTCATGGTAATGCATTTTACTATCGGCGTAACCTGTCACAGATTTCAGATGTGCTTTTTAATATTGTGTGACATCCCTATAATGTACTTATCATACGTAGTACGATACGAATTACTTGAGCATATCTGTGCCACAAACCTAGCACACATTTCCGACATGCAAAAAAACTTCCAAAAGGATCGTTGTATAGTATAGCCAATCAAAATCATGAGTCTGCCACACGCTTACGACTTCCGTGCCACTTATTCAGAAGATACGCATCAGGGAAATATAAAGTCTATAATCGTAGGACGCTTTATTAAAAATATTTTTTTGCGTTTTATAACATAATCTATCAGAATTTTTTTATAATCAGAAGTACATTTGATAAAAATTATAAAGTAAATGTCCAAAGCAAATAAATTGGAATTATCAATTGATAATTATAGTCTTTTCATCTATTTTATATATAATGTTCTCACTTTACATTTCTCTCCTTCTTTTCTTGTCCCTGTCGTCCTCAATCGGCACCTTTTCTTCCATTTTATGAATTCCATCAGTATTGTTCTCGTATTTTCGTTTCTCCAATTCCTTTCGTTCTAATGAATTTTTTTCCCATTCTTTTTGCATTTCCAATCTTTGTTTTTCCCTTTCTTGTCTTTTCGCTTTACGCTTAGCTTTCATTTTGCAACTACAACAACGACATTCACCATCTACCCCGTCTTCTTCGCTCTCTGTTTCACTTACTTCAGTGTCACCATCGTCATCGGTTGAACTCTTCTCATTGGAACTACTGGAACTACTGCTACTACTAGAACTACTTTCGGGCAACGCAGGAACTGTTTCCAAAGCTTTAATCCTATTTACCAAATTTCGGTAAAAGTTTTTACTGTGCCTTGTTCCTCCAATGGTTGACAATCGTATGATCTTGGACAAAAGTTTTTGAGCCAGTTTAGGGCGTGCATTTCGAGTGCGTAACCAAACTTGTTCAATGGAAGTTGGTGAACAGAAATTCTGAGTGACGGCAATTGTAAAATCTATAATGAAAAAATTTCGAGTTATAAATGTTTTTTTACTTCAAACATGAATAAAGATTAATGCTTTACCTAAATTCATTACCACGTGATGCCATCCACCTGGTACGAACATTGTTTCACCAGGTCCTTGTAACACTTCAACCATTCCGTATTCTTCAGCGAGGCTTTTGCTTTTCCCCTCATGGACTTCAAGTAACTTAGAAAGGACGCAACTAAACCAAGTTACAGCTTCATGATCTTTCTGCTTTGGATCAATTAATCTGCGAGGTGTGGATGGTGGAAAAAGGCACCAGCGTTTGTGCCCAACCAACAAAGTGTTCCACGCAGAAGTTCCTAGTGGGTCAACATGAATTCTATAGAGAAATATATTGATTAAAGTAAATCTCACAGTTACTAGAGTTCCATATGACTTGATTAAGATTACTTTACCCAGTTCCGCTTCTTTCTCCACCAAGTACAAACCAGCGGTATGGAGGCCTGCGATTTTCGCCTGTAAAACGAAAGAGATCATCGTCGAAATAAGTAGGAACCTTGTAATCTTTCAACAAGCATTCCTTATATTTCGGATTTAAATTTTTTCTTTCAGAACTGGCCTTCTTAGGTTTCCCACGCCTTCCAAAAGACGAATCAAAAATATACAATGGACTATCATCTTTTAACCCTTCTGTTTCTAAATAGTACATATAATATTTAAAAGTCATGCGTACGGGATTTCCTTTGTCATCCTCACCGATTTTGAATTTGTGACGGGCATAATTTCGCAGAAGTTCCTATTAAAAATTGGGCTTTATATTCACAGGCGTAATGGCACTTCGCATTAATTATAAATTTCAGAAACATATGTTTCTTGACTAACCTCTTTATTCCATTTTATTTCTGCAGCCCAGCCTTTTGTACAACCGGTAATAACGACTGGTAAACCAGGTGCCTCATATTTCTTTATGAATTCTTCTCGAGAAACTTGTGATTCATCGATTCGAGGAATTTTGTCAGCAGATGGTGAAATCCAATAATTGTTGTTGGCAAAACCATGCTTGGACCATTCAAATATGTCAAGTTCTAATTTTATGTAACAAACAATTAGATAACCTTTTTAAAAAAACATATCTGACAATTTTATAAAACTTATAATACAAAACATTTGAATCAACTTCAACAGCTGCGGCACCAATCCTCAATAAGGACAATGATAAAATAATATAATGCCCAAAATGGGCTTGAGCGTTTTACTAAAACGGGACGTTATAGAAAAAGATTAAAATGATTTTGGGAAGGTTTTACAGAAAGAACGATGTCATATGGGATAGATGTGGTAGGATTTTCAAGGGCAAGTTTAGGCTTAAAAGGATCCATTATAAATACCAAAAGTGATTGATACACCGGGCTAAAAAAAAAAAAGAATAAGAAAAGTATTTACCAACCTGAACGAGCACTTAGCTTTGTCTTTTTAATCTTGCGTTCATACTTTTTTCGATTAATTTTAGTAATATCGGTTGTTTTTATGCCATTTTTATTAGAAAGTTTCACAGGTGTATCATGATCTATTCGCTCGGAAGTGTTAAAATGAGTAGTTGACAAAGGCATTTTGAGAATCCTAACCGGGCTGTTATCCATCTGTTCGAATGTTCTGGCAAGCTATTTATAATTTTTTAGATAATATTCGACGTGATCTGATTGGATTTAATGAAGGGATCACCGTAGATCAGTTATAAATACTTTCGTCGACACGCCATCTTATTCTTTCTGTAAAATTCGTTTCAATGACACTTCCTACACTTCCAGAAGAACTTAAATTCATCAATGGTTTCCTTCAAAGAGCTCAAGAATTACGAAATAGAGAGCCGGTTATAGCTTATTATTGTAAGTTCGAAGATCGGCTTACACCAGATTCGTTTAACAGATCAAATTATTTACGCGTTTTTGTACATTTTTTATACTTCCCTTTTAAATAGGTAATTTTTATTCTGTAAAACTCGCTCTCGAAAAAGGAACAAAGAGTAAAGAGAGTAAAGCATTTCTTGCCAGATTATTGGATGTTCTTGAAGAGGTAGCTTTTCATATTTGTTTATGTTATTCTTAGTAGTCTTAATGTCTACCTTAATTGCTTTATCGGACTACCAGGAAAAAAAAGCACTTCACGACAATGAGGCCGTTACAGATAATGTTGTTGGTGAAGCTTATGTAGAGAATTTTGGCATAAAGGTTTTCATGAATGCAGATAACGAAGACAGAGCAGGAAAAGCAACAAAGCTAGTGATTTTATTAGATCAATCATATTGCTTTGGTTTTCACGAAAAAAAATTAATTATCATCCTTCCTAATAGAAAAACAGCTAAGAACTTTTTGGCGGCTGCTGTCTTTTTAGAACTTCTCAAAGTATTTGGACCACTTAATCCGGAAGTAAGTAATACATATTATGTGATTATTTATTTAGCGATGGTTTTAACTTAAATTTTTTAGATCGAAGAAAAAATCAGATACGCAAAATGGAAAGCGACTGATATAGTAAAAGCGTTGAAAGAAGGTCAAATACCGGTGCCTGGTCCTCCTGGTGGTGAACCGGCTTTACAACCACCACAAGATTACACTGTTAATCCATCTGATAACGTCCCTAGCATTGACCAATTTCCTTCGGCACCTTTGGCGGTTGACTCACCATCAGAATCTCATATGGAAGAAAATGGTCGACAACCAATACCCGGGTTTACTAATGACTCCTTACGTCACCAGCCTCCTTTATCATTCCCTAATAATCCTCCTCCTCCTCCTCCACTTCCTCCATTAATACCTGGACTTACTAATGACTCCTTACGTCATCAGACTCCTTCTTCATTCCCTAGTAATCCTCCTTCGCTTCCCCCATCAATACCTGGTTTTACTAATGACTCCTTACGTCATCAGCCACCTTCCTCATTCCCTAGTAACCCTCCTCCACTTCCCCAAAATTACGTCCAGCCTTATAGTTCTCCAATTTACCAACCAACGGCTCCAAATTCATTGCCCACTAATCAACAGCATGTTCACCCTTACACACAATTCTTGCATCATCCAGCTGACGTCGATCCTGGCACTGTAGCTACTGCCCAAAAATATTGCAAATGGGCCATTAGTGCGTTAAATTATAACGATGTAAAAACTGCCGTCGAAAATATGCACAAGGCATTAGCAATGTTGGAACCTTATAATCACAAATGATGTATCTTTTTGATAAATATCGGAACCATTTAACCTCTTAAAAAATTGTTACGTAGCTCTGGGCCGAATTATGTTGTTATTGTCCAAAATTATTTTAATTCTTACTGAATCAAACGGTTAAATGATTAGAAAAATTTTAGGTGGTCCCAATCTTTAATCGCTGATTCATATTTTAAGTTTGTATTATACATTGTAAATTGTAGAAGCTATTTCATGTTTAACAAAGCAGACATGCACATTTTAACTATACTATTTAAAAAGCAAGTTATTTATACAAATACAATTAAATGGGAATAAATCGATAGAAATAAAATTTTTTCGAATAAAGACAAAAATGAGAAAAAGAAAAAAAAACCTAAAAATAATGGGTGATATTATCATTTTGCAAAATATTGAGTTAGAAAGTGTTTTTTAGTTATTTATTTTAAAGTTTTTATATTTGGATGTCAAATTTAAAAAAGAACTTTATTGAGAAAAAAAACTTGATCTTAATACAATATTTCAAATATATTTGTTTGTTTGTTTTAATATTAATGGTAAGGCCATGCTAAATATATGTTTTAGTATTTTATATATAAATTTTATTAATAATAGTTTATTTTATATTGAATTAAAAATGTTAACTATTTAGAATCTTGAGTCTTCAAACTATAGTTAGTATAAATTTGCTTTAAGTAATTATTATTATTTGTTTTTAATGTTAAGGTGATAGTATGTTTCAGATAATAGCTGTTTGTATAACAACTACAAAGGCAACTATGGAAAAAGTGTACAACTAGTTACTTGTACAACTTTAGTAATTGTTTAATTTAAGTAGTTCGTCTAAAGGTTTTACACTAATTGTTATACTTAGAACCCATTTATGGGTTTTCTATTTAAACATCCTAGTTCTTGTATTTATCATCTACTTATTCTATTAATAATCTTAATTAATATTGATAAAGATATGTTATGATCATAAAGTTTTTAAAGTAGTTTATTCATATAAGAGATTTTGGATTTTGTACTAAAGTCATCAGAGTCTTCTGTATTTCATACTTACAGTTGCTTGGTATCACTTTAATTTAGACTATTACTTGTAGTCAAGAATAAACATTAAACTAATATATTTTTATAAAATTTTTTTTTTTTTTTTTTTTTTTTTTTTTTTATTAAGGTGACCTCTTTGATCTTTTGACTTTTATTAATCACTTATTGGTATTGTGGTTCAATGAACCACTACAGAAGAGTATACAATTGGCTACATATGTAACTTTTCTATATTACCTATTTAAGGAGTTTATCTGAAAGTTCCCTACCAATTGTCATACCTAACACTCCTGCTTGGGTGTTTCACTTTAAACCCTCTGAACCTATAATCTGTGTTAACATCACTGGTCATCTCTGATGTACCAGATCATCATTCTCAACCTTAGGACTAATTTATCCTTGAGGTAAACTCTTCAGAGCCTTCTGTACCTATTTTTATAGCTGACCTAGGTATCGCTATGGCAGAACCAACACTTGCGGTCAGGGCTAACTATTAAACTGTTATGCCCTTGTAGAGTTCACTTAGACCCCAGCATCTACTTCATAGCATAAGCCCAGTACTTTAGTATATCTCTGCCTTTTGTCCAGCCTTTTTATCAAACTTCCAATTCAGATAGCCCATGTAGAACTATGACCAGTCTATCAGTATATTAGGTTGACCCAATATCCTTTTCCTCCGATTTGTTCTGGCAGCCTGGTTGGTAGTACCTCTGGGACCCCAACTCGAAGGTTCTTGCCCATCTAGCTACTATAACCAGGTACTATGGCCTTGGTATCTGTTTCTCCAGACTAACCTTTACAGTAGGGCTGTCGAAGATCCAGCTACCTTTTTATTCAGGTCTTTCCAAATGGACTTCTTGTTACCCAATTTCAATAAATTTACATGGCCACAAAGACTTATTTAGTATTTGCACTACTCGATTTGTCAGTTTGCATTTCTCTGTATAATGTCATACTTACACAGATGCCCTATAATCTGCCAGTCATGCTGGTGCAACCACCATTACAGGTATCCTAATCTAATCATTAGTAACAGTTGTCATAATATGAATATTACATAGGTGATTATTCAAATTTTTGCTATTGATGGAATTTGAACACCCAACCTACCACTTGGAGGGTTGACAACCTGACCACTTTACTAGATCACTACACCCCTTTTATAAAATTTATCCAAACCTTAGTACTCATCTTTTTGATATTTTTTTTATTATTTTTTATTAACTGTTATTTAGAATTAATAAAATTTCTCAAATTATTAATTTAAATTGTCTGATATAATATAATTATATATCTTTTTTCTCTAGTAATTCTGATAACTTAGTTGGTATATATGTTTTTTTTACATATTTGTCATCTGGTTTATTTATCTATTTTTTTATGAAGGTGTTTTATAAATTTTTGTTAATCTAATAATATTATCAAAAGTTTGTATTATTTTTTTATTTAGGATTTCTAAGTAGATTTCTGAATCTTTAGTGTTTTTATTTTTTGTACTCAATAGTCTTATTATAGGTTTCTATTAACATTTTATGTAATATTGATTATTAATATTCCATTATCACAGATTAAATATATAAATAATAAATGTATCTATATAGTTCTATTAGTTTTCTAATATGCATATCAGATAATATATTAGTAAACTAACATTTATCTATATTATAGAAAAATTAAATATAGATATCAGTTATATAATAATATATTTTTAGTTTTTTATTATTCTTTTAATATATATAAAAGAATAAAATAAAAAAAATAATAATAATAAACTAATAGGTATTAATATCAAAACAAGATATAAATATACAAAAAATATAAAAAATATATACTATTTTTTTTTTCTTCTGATATTTATTTTTTTATTTTTTTTTAAATATTAAGATAAGTACTTGCGACCCAGAATTTTATTGATAGTATATTTGGTTAATAGTTGCATTACAGCTACAGAAAGCAACTATAAGAAAAGTGTACAACTATATTAGCAAAATAAATACGTGAAATATTGTGAAAGATATTGCATACCAAAAATCTTTTAAAATAACTGTAATTGATATAAAATTATTTTAAAATAAAATAATTTCACAATATTACAAAAGAAACAAAATAATTTTGAAAAATTTTTAGCTATTTTACAAAAAATTTAAAAATTAATAAAAACTAAAAATAAAATATATTTCAAAAATAATTTGAAATATTTTGAAAGATCGAAAGGTTTTCAAAATATATAAATATTTCAAAAGTTATAAAATAATTTTATTGATAAATTTATTTTATTTTATTTGAAATATTGCTATTTATATATATTAATATATTTAATATGATTGTTTATTTGATCATTAACTAAGTATATTTAATTATTTTTAATCTGTATTAACTTTATTTAATTGATTTATATATCAAATACAAATAAAAAATAAGTAAAAATAAAAAAAAAGAAATATCTATATAAAAATTTATAAAATGATAAAAAATTTTGAAGATATTCAAAATGTTTTGAAAAATCTGTAAAACTTAAAAAAATATATTAGTAAATAAAACAAAAAAACAAAAAAGTTTCATTTAAATATTAAATTTCTGTATATGATACTCTCAAATTTAGCTAAAAAAAAAGAAAGATTATTTGAAAAAAATAAAAAAAAAGTTTTATAATTCTTCCTCAGTATCTTGATTTTCATCAGATAAATCTAAATTAATTATTAAAATTATCAGCGAATAATTTTAGAAAAAAATAAAAAATTGTAAAGATATTTGAAAATAACAAAATACATAAAATTATTTAAAAATTAAAATAATTATAAAATATTCTTAAAATATTGCAGATTATAACTATACATAAGCCATAATTTAATGTTTTACTTTCTCTTAGTCTTTTATTTACCTAATAAAATTTATTAATTGTAATTAATATTAAAAATATATAAAGTATTTTAAAATAATACAAACTATTTCAAATTTTTGTGAAATATTTTTTCATTTACTGCAACTAGTCTAGATATTCTAGATATATTTAGTAAGATAAACTAGAAAAAAATTAAATTAATATTAATAATTAATAAAAATAATTTTGGTATATTTGCAGATCACTCGACCAAAAACTGTTAAGAAGCAAAACACAGAAAAACTGCAAAACCAACTAAGAAACAGCACTTAAACCCTTAACAAAAAAGGAAGAGCAGCAAAAGTTACACATAACTAGAAAACAAAGACACAAGAAAAAAGTGTAGCAATAGCACAGCTTGGAAAACTTAGAAATTTTAACGAAAACAAAAATTTTTTAAAAAATTTTAAGGAACTCCTGTAACCCTGTTGTGAAGATCAATTTAGGTTATATGAAAAGCACAAAAACAAGCAAAGTAAACAAACAAGTAAAGTAAACAAACAAATATGTGTATGAAAATAGTCTACTAAAATAAGCACGTGACATAGCAACAACAAACTAGAATAGCCAATGGCCGAAGTATAGCAAAAAGATATCATAGAGTACATTAGAGGAATAGAGAACAGAAATCGCAGATATGTAGATTGCAAAATATTAGACCAAGTTCTTAAAACACCAACAAGAGGGCCAAGTAATAT